GGGATGGGGTTTGGTGGAGAGGAGAAAAGTAGGGGGAAATGTGGCACATCTGTAATACTGTCAACAATAAAAAATTATATAGGTTTCAAGTGTGCAATTCTATAACACATCATCTGTACACTGTGGTGTGTTTTCATCATCCAAAGTGAAGTCTCTGTCCGTCATCATTTATCCATTTACCAACAAGTTTTCTGTATTTTATATGACACAGTACAATATTAACTGTAAGTAAACTGCATTGAGTTAAGCATGTTTATTGTAACCCTTAAAGCAACCACTACAAAAAAAATGCAATAGAAAACATTGCTAAAGAGTCAACAGATAAAATAAAATGGGATTATATAATAATATTAAACTGGAAAGAAGGTAGGAAATGAGGCCAGTAGGAGGATAAGCAGTGGATAAGGAGATCAGCAATAATTTCAACAAAACAGAATAAAAATAAATTGTAAAATAAGACATAAGTCTGACCATAATCCATAACTAAATTTTAATGAACTAAACATTCTAATTAAAATTCAAAGAATTCAGAATGAATTTAAAAGTAATATCATTTATAATAGGTGATATGTAAATATAAAGACTCAGATATTTGATATTAAAAGGATGAGAAAAGATGTACCATGCAAATGGTAAAGATTAAGAAGGTGGAATGGCTATACTAATATCAGATAAAGTGAACCTCAAGATAAAAAGCATTCCCAGAGCTACTGAAGAAGACCAGGGATAGTTTAATCTAAGTAAGGCACTCATCTTAGGCATAAAATTTAAGGATGTCAAAAAAATCAGTGATCAAGATTAATGACATTTTATTGCAAAATTTTAAAAATAAAAATTAATATAAAAATAAGTAGTACTATTTTTCCTCTTGTCTCAGGTGCCAATATGGCTCAGCTTGGCACTGTTACTGAATCTGTCTTTAAAATGAAAAGAACATTCTCAATCTGATTTAAAAAAACTATAAAAAACCTTCAGCTAAGAGTATACTTAATGGTGAAATAATTAATGTTTCCCCTTTAATATCAGGAATAATGCAATAACTTTAACTAGACATTGCATTGCATTGTTAGTCCTACCCAGTAAAAATAGAAATAGTAATAAAAATAAAAGAGAAATAAAAGATTTAGAAGAAAGCGGTAAAGCTGCTACTTTTCACAGATGGCAAAGTAAACACAAAAAATTCTAAGGAACTTAAAAAACAGCTACTAGATAATATGTGAATGTAACAAGTTCATATGATATAGTGGATATATTTAAAATTATATTTTCATAACTAGCAAAAAACAAAAAGGAAATAAAGTTCTACACTTAATTCTATTATTAATACAATAGCCCCCACAAATGAAAATAACTACAGGGACTTTTAACAAAATATTTTACATTTTAGCCCTGGCTGGTGTAGCTCAGTGGATTGAGTACAGGTCTGCAAACCAAAAGATCATTGGTTCAATTCCCAGTCAAGGCACATGACAGATCCAGGTCCCCAGTAGGGGGCACAGGAGAGGCAACCACACATTGATGTTTCTCTCCGTCTCTGTCTCCTTCCCTTCCCATCTGTCTAAAAATAAATAAATAAAAATTTAAAAATCTTTAAAATATTTTTTATATTTTATACTAAAAATTACAAAATGTTGATGGATAAAATTAAAGAAGATATAATTGACAGGAGAGATATTATATATTCATGAACCTAAAGACTCAATATTGTTGAAATGTCAATCCCCTCCAAGTTGATGTATAAATTCATAGAAATAAAAAACAATCACAATTCTACCAGGTTGTTAAATTAAAACTCCAAAGCTTGTTGAGAACAGGCTGACAGCTGCTCAGGGGATGCTGGGAGGAGTGGAGGGATGGAGAAAAAAAGAGAGAAAAGAACTTACAGACATGGACAACAGTGATCGCAGTTGTGGAGGGGGGTGGAGGGAGATGAAGGAGGGTACAGGGGGATAAATGGAGATGGACAGAGACTTGACTTGGGGTGGTGCACACACAGTACAGTGTACAGGCGATGTGTTGTGGAATTGTGCACTTGAAACCTGTACAATTTGGTTAACCACTGTCATTCAAAAAATTCAATAAGAAGGAAAAAAGAGTTCTCTCACCCCAATAAATTTAATTTAAAAAGAATAACTTCAGAAACATCAGACATACCCATAATAAAATGGTAAGAATAAAAATATATTGTGAGTTAAATAAAAGAACAAGAGAGAGAGAAAGAAAGAAAGAAAGAAAGAAAGAAAGAAAGAAAGAAAGAAAGAAAGAAAGAAAGAAAGAAAGAATATAGAAAGAGATGTGGACACATGGAACAGACTGACAGCTGTCAGAAGCGAGGGTTGGGGCACTGGATGAAAGAAGGTGAAGGGTTCAACGAAAGAACATACACGCATAACCCATAGATACAGACGGCAGTGTGGGGATGGCCAGAGGGAAGGGGATGCAGGGAATGGGTGGGGGTGGGCAAAGGGGGGGAATGGGAACATTTGTAATAGTATCAACAATAAAAATAGAGTTAAAAATTTTAAGTTAAAAATAAAATTCTTCAAAGAAACAAAGAAAAATGGAATCATGTGACTTTATAACTAGTTGGAAAGTCTTTGTGAAACCACCTAGTCTAGTGCTTTCAAAATGTGGGTTATGGCTTATCAGTTGGTTGAAAAATGTAGAAGTTCACAGCCAGCATTTTGAAAAAGAAATAAAATAGAAAATTTGTATATTACATGCAGTAGAAGTAAAACATTTTTAATATAACGTTTGATTCAGTTACACTGGATCATGGCAGAAAATGCACTTTTCACTGATGGTCTCTGTATAAAAAGTATATTTGAAGACACTACTCTATCCAGTCCAATCCCCTCACTTTAGAGATAGAGAACGAAATGATCAGAGAGGTAAAAAAGTTGCTCCAAGTCAAGCATTAAGGTAGCAGCAGGGGAGAAATACGTGCATGCTGAGGGATTATGATTCTTGCCCCAGCACTGACCAGGGCCTGAGGCACATTAAACACCTACTGAACTTGTGATGATGGCAGTCAAGGAAGAGTAGGTGACTCTACCCTAAACTTCAGTGTGGAGACCAAATGAGAAATCATGGACTTAGGCCACCTTTTCTGTAATCAAGGTAGACATCATCCATCTAGAGTCCTAAGATTAAAATGACCAACTTGAGTCTAAGATACAGTCTTTTGTTTCCAACCTCTATCTCCATCCTTGATGCATCCTTACACCAAGATGTTGACAAAAGAGAAACAAAGAGATGTTCTAGGGAGAGGAGAAGATTTGTTGTTTTATGTCTATTAATATAGAAGAAAACCAGAAAGATGTAGAATAAGGGATCCCAGACTAAAAGCTAGTATCTAGGAGAACTTTAATAAGATTCAGGAACTTCTGTCAACCTCCTCTAATTAACCAGCATTAATTTTGTCCCTCCCGTTTCTTTTTAGTGATAACATTAAAACCCTTTACATCTAAAGCTCTGGTTCTTGTATTCAGTGTTAGCAAAGGAAGGAAAACCAATAAGATTGGCTAACTCTGTAGCCAGCTTTAAGGGAAATCTGTGAAACAGTGTAAAATAGAGGCATTTGGGAATAGAAATCTGAGTCCCTGGAGGCTGAAGAAAGTAAAGGATCAGTGACAGCTGGCTAGCTTAGGTCTCAGATATGTCCCCAGTGGCTTAACTGGCAGGAAATCTTGGAGCTTCACGACACCACTGGAACATTTACCACAGCTGTGCATTTGCTTGGCCTGCAAGACCTCTTGACACATTTCGTAAGTCAGGCCTAACCTTGTTTCCCGCCAACTACCTGCATCAGCACTCAGCAACAAGAGATTTGGCCTGAATCCACACTTGAATTTTTCTCTTAATAATTTAACTTTTACAAAATGGAGTTTGTAACATATTAAAAAATTGTTTTTAAAACAAAATAAGTTGCCTTGGAAACAAAAGTAAATAAGAGCCAATTTATCACTTAAGAAGGCTTTAGTTTTGGCCACTATATGTTAATCCATAGTCTATAAAAATATCTAACATTAATAGATATAAAAGTTATATAGTTATAGCTATGAATATTAAACATCAACCCAGCTGATACATTATAATCTTCTAAAAATGATTTTTGACATTAGGTATATTAACTTAAAATTGGAGATGGGCCCATCAATAGATGAGTGGATTAAAAAGTGTGTGTGTGTGCGCGCACGTGCACACAATGGAATATTACTCAGTCATAAAAAATGAAATCTTATCATTTATGACAGCGTGGATGTACCTAGAAGGTATTATGCCAAACGAAATTAAGTCAGAGAGAGAAAGACAAATACCACATGATTTCACTTACATGTGGAATCTAAAGAACAAAATAAATGAACAAACAAAATTAAAACAGACTCATAGACACAGAGAGCAAATGGGTGGTTCCAGTACAGGGGATGTTGGAGTAATAGGTAAAAGAGGTGAAGGGATTGAGAAGTACAGATTGGCAGTTACAGAGTAGTCACTGGGATATAAAGCACAGCATAGGGAATACAGTCAATAATATTGTAATAATTCTGTATGGTGCCAGGTGGGTACTGGAAATATCAGGGGAATCACCTTGTAAAGTATACCATTTTCTAACCACTGTGCTGCATATGTGAAATTAATATAAGATAACATTGAATGTAAACTATAATTGAAAAATAAAATTAAAAATATTGAGATAGAATCTGAGTGGGTAGATGTGTTCTTACATCAGTTCCCAATGTTTTAGGAGGCATAAAGTAAAAACTCCATTACATTTTAGTTCCTAATACCCACCTCAAACACACACACACACACACACACACACACACACACACACACACACACATTGCTTGCACACAATCTTTCTCTGTTGCCTAGATAAATAGTAATATTAACCAAGAAATTTATCTGAGACAAAAAGTATACCAGGTTCAGCTTTCAAACCATTTCAACTGCACATGAGGCAGCTGTAAGACCCCAGAGTACTTTTTCACCCTTACCTTTCGGAGTTTACGAATAACCAGGGTTAGAAGAAGCCAGAAAAGGGTAGCTGCAAGGCCAGTACAAACAAGAATGATGACTTCAATATTGGATTTGTCTTCAGAGCCTGTAAAGACATTGAAGACAGAATTTATTAAAATAAAAATGTTATAGTGCCTCAGCCATTATCTATCATCAGTTTATAAGAAAAATAAGTTAGTTCACTGAAGAGGCTGAGAGGAAGAGAGAAAATTACTGCCTTTTGGAAAGCATATTTCATTTCTAAAGGACAAATGTCACCAAGTAGGAATAATAAAATCCCTACCACATAGGATTACCGAGAATACTAAATGAAATAGCTAGAAGTGAAAATAGCGCCATATATGGCTTATAACTTTTTTAAACCTATTTTATTATTATCAGTTTTCTGTTTTTTATAGTTCAGACTCTGGATTATCTCAGACCACTAGAAGACAAGATTATTAAATCAGTTTATATGGTTTGCCTGGTAGACCCTAGAAAAGTGTAACTGAATGTGCAAAAGGCTTTAGGAATACTGAGATGGTTATTCCAACCCTCAGCATTTCTTTCAGCAGATACAGCTTTGCCCTTAATAGTTAAATACTCATCATAATGTAATGACTCATCATAATCCAATGACTCCAGCACATTGGAGTCAAACCACCTTGCCATAACCTTCAGCAAGTATCTTATTTTCTTTGGGCTTCATATTTACAATATTAGGGGAGCAAAGGTCTAACTTTCTATGCTTATATTTCCAAATGCCATCCAATAGTTTCCAATCCACCAAAGGGAAGTACTCTTATTTGATATTTTATATTTTGTAAAGCATTTCCTTATCTTGGACTTCATCTGTATCACCCCTGAAACATACAGTACAGCTGGTATTATTCTCATGTCAGAAAGGAGAAATTTGAGACTGAAAAAGGCTAAATGACTTATGCAAAATTCTATCAAGTTTGTTGCAAGTATGGGGTTCTGAATCCAGGTTTTCCAAATCATACTATTCCACATACCTTCCCATTGAAAGTGAATATATTAAATGCACAGTCATGCTTGCCTTCTTCATGGTCATTCTACACTGTGTCCCCATCACCAAATGCATTTTTTCCCTTTTTTGAGATCCATTATTGATTATCAATACAGATGGGTATTTTCCAACTTACCTTCCACAGTGATAAGAGCTGCAGTGCTGACTTCCCCCAACTCATTGGTCGCTTTGCACTGATATATGCCCTCATCTTCTTTTTTGGCTCGCTCAATAATAAGGCTGTTGTTCTCAAAGGAGATTCCTGCATCAACAATGCCCCCCCATTATTATCTGAGGTATTTGCATGGAAGCCCAGTCTTAGAGTATGTGAACCCCCCAACTCATTAAGTCAACCTTGGAACAGTTTCAGTCAAGTCATCTCTGAGGAGTTGCATCAAGCCAGGCCCTCTTGACTGGAAACAATGCCACAAGATCTTCAGACTTACCTGAAGCAGCGAGAACAGGAACTCCATCTTTCAACCAGTGGATGTTAGGCCATGGTGTTCCACTCACATTGCAGTTCAGCAAAATCTTGCCACTGATGTTGACCTCAATATTGGTAAGATTCTCAATAATGAATGGAGCAACTCTTTCTGTAGCGACCAGAGTAAAAGAGGACAAGATTTTGAGGCAGGGTACCATAAATGTGCCATTTCATCTCTGCCTCAGCCTTCATATTTAATTAGATATTTGGATGGTTAAGTGTTACCGTATTCGGGAGAAGAGAAAATGGATAGGGCTAAAAATATACTGCATAGGTGAAGTGTTTGGCAGTTTGCATTTTCTATTCTTCAAGTTACTCCATAATCCTCACACTTAGTAAGGTCATCTTTTTTTTAAAGATTTTATTTATTTATCTTTAGAGAGGAAGGGAAGGAGAGAAGGATAGAAACATCAATGTGTGGTTGCCTCTTGTGAGTCCCCTGCCAGGAACTGGCCTGCAACCCAGGCATGTGCCCTGGCTGGGAATTGAACCACAATCATGTGGTTTGCAGGCCCATGCTCAATCCACTGAGCTATGCCAGCCAGGGCTTGGTAAGGTCATCTTTAGTCAGCTCAAGCAATAAAAGTGGCTGCTGAAGAGTTTTGGTATTAGAAGGACCACAACGGTCCATTCCTCAATTTTTCTATCATCTGTTTGACACAGAGTATATAATTCATTGAGATCCTTTTCTTGAAATGTCTCTAAGGGGCTTCAGGAAACAAAAGATTGGTTGGCCCAGTCCTAGTAATACAGAAGCAAGAACCCCATTCTGGTTCCATAGCCCACCCAGCAGTTGTCTCAAATGCTAAGTTCTAGGGAAATCTCCCCAACTGTACCTCTAATTAGGAGCTGAGTGGTGTGTTGCATCATCTTGGTGATGTTCCTCTGGGTCCAAGCTTTGCACTTGTACTGCCCTTTGTCCTTCTGGGTCACATTTTTAATCACCAGCGTCAATGAGATGGAGTAGTTATTTTTTAAGCTTTCTGTGTACATAACAGGAATCTTCTCTCCAAGGGGGTTGAACCAAGCGAGGTGAGTGTAGATATACTTAGCTGCCTTGCATTTGAGCCGGGCATCATAGCCCTCAATCACAGAGACCAGGGGTTCTGCCTCCATGAAGCCAGCCACATCTGTGAGGAAATGTCACTGTGAATATCACTAGGCCCAAGAAACTGCTATATAACAACATGCTTTGTGCTTTCTCCTGAGAACCAAGTTGTAGAGATACAGCAGACTCCATCAAAGACAAGTGTCTAGTAGCAAAGACTCAACTACATTAAGTTTTCAGTATCAGTTCCTAAGTTTCCTTCTAAATGCTCACAATGGCAGAAGCCATTTTTAGCCACACACAGCTCCAAATTTGTTCCCAAGTAGGTGTGAGCAGAGCTTTGAAAATATTTTCATATGTCTCCTATTATGAAGAAGGTAGGCAATTAAGTATTTTTATTGATACAATGTCATCAGGTCAAATAGTTCCCCACTCCCATGTTATCACCAGAATATTACAGAGTCTGAGAGTCTGCTATTATAAGTGACTCACATATTTATTGCCCGACTTACAAACTTCGTGGCAATTCCCTCACATTAATCTTGAAAACAAACCTGAGACAAATAATATCCTCAATCTCATTTCACAGATTAAAGAAAGAACATGTACTGAATACACAGTGGAGATAAGACTGAGACACCAGGTCTACTGATCTGAGTTTGCATTTTTGCCATTTCATGCTGCCTCTCCACAGGTAAGTTCTTATTTTGGAATCTACACTACAGATGCTTTTCTGTTGGATTAAAACATGATGTCTACAGGAGAAGAGCATCTAAATGCAAATTTCTGAGAGGAAAAAAAGGTACCACAAAAGCTCTAAGGCAGATACTAACACTGAATCATTTAGCGCACATGTGATTTGGAAAGAAAATAGAGGGCTTTGTCAAAATCAAACTCTGAACACCCAGATTTTGACTTGAAAGATAACATGCAGAAACACTTTTAATCCTTTTTTTAAAACACAATTTTATTTATCCTTTTTTTTTAGAGAGAGGGAAAAGGAGGGAGAAAGGGAGAGAGAGAAACATCAATGTGTGGTTGCCTCTCAAGCGCTCCCTACCAGGGACCTGGCCTACAACCCAGGCATGTGCCCTGACTGGGAATTGAATTAGAGACCCTTTGGTTTGCAGGCCAGCACTCAATCCACTGAGCCATACCAGCCAGGCCTTTTTGCAAATAGAATTGATATAAATTATAAATAAATACTTGAGTATCATATCAATGTCCCTACCCCCAAGAAATACATCAATTTTCACTTCTGAACATCACACACACAAAACTTTGCACACACTTTATTTTAACTAGCAATGGCTACAAACAGTCTGAAGAGATTAGCTGTTGGATAAGAAAAACCATGGTCTTGATTCAGGCCTAGAGGTTTTAATTCATTGGCTTTGTGTGTGTGTGTGGTGGGGGGCAGTGTCTGTGGAGGGTTAGGAATAATAGAAGGTATTCCTGCAGCCCACACTTTGAGATTAGAATTAAATGATTAAAACATCCTACTTGTCATACAATCGTATTACTGTTTCTTATGGCTACTTGCTTCCAGCACCCCAAAATTTGCACCCCAAGATTTGTTTTCTCTACCAATATTTATCTTGATAAAGTCTACCACTGTTTTGAATATATCAACATTTTTATCAAGGCTCACAAAATGTTTTCATAAAACTAAATAATTTCTTAATGCTTTTTATTTAATATGTCTTATATCACAATAGGTTCAGTGGTTTTTTAAAAATATATTTTGGAGCATGGATCAGGTAGAAGCCAGTAAAGGGGGGATAAATGGTGACAGAAACAGACTAGTCTGTGGATGGTGAACACACGATACAATATATAGACAACGTATGATAGAGTTGTCCACTTGAAAATTAATTAACCCATGTAACCCAAATAAATTCAATAAAGTCTACCTCTTGATCAATCACAGCAGTGATGTCTTGACTGAAGAATATGGTTGGCTGAAATCTGCCAGCTCAGCTGGCAGATTTCAAATTCTGGGTCCATGTTATCTAGTCCACTCAGTACTGAACGTTCATGTCCCTGAACTCCAGCATCAAGTTGTTGATGCTGAAGGCACATTCAGGCATGTGTAAGTGATTGCTGAATGCGGGATAACTGCCCTCTCCTTCCACTTAACTTTTTTATTACCATGAAAGCTTGGAATTATTTTTGTTCTCTGTGGCCACTCTTAGGCTACATTGCCATTTGTCTACTGGACATTCCTACTTGGGGATCCCATTAGCATGTCAACAATTTCATAACCAAAAATACCTCTTTGATTTTATTCCCCTCAGACCCATCTTCCTTTAAATTTTTCTGTTGTGGAACACATTGTTTTCCTATCAACCAAGAATTAAAACCTCACTATTATCTTTGATTCTTCCATCCCTCCCCTCTTCCACATCTCACCTCCCATCAGTTGCCAAGTTCTATCAATTGTTCCTCTGCCACAGCTTTCCCTTCACCCTTCCTCTCAGTCTCCACTCTGCAGCTATCCCAGTCTGGGCAGTCATTACCTCATGCCCGAACGTTTAAATGGTTTCCTAACTGGGTTGCTCTTCTCCAGTCTCTCCACACTCCAAACCATCTCCACTGGCCACCTCACTCATCCTCCTGAACCGTAACTTTGATCAAAACCACTATCAAAAACTCTCAAAGACTCTCCATTGCTTCCAAATAAAGTTAATATTCCTCCCTCATTTATTCAAAGTAGGCCTCTCTAAGGCCCCATTCTTCCTCACCAACTACAGCATCCAGCTTCTCCACAAATTATGTTTTTACACACCCAGTTGCTTCTCATGCTCCACAGATCTGTAACATTGGCCTGTGGTAATCTTTCAGTGCCAAGTAGAAGTTCACCTCCCCAGACAGGTCTCCTTTGACCACCCAGTCTAAAGCAGGCTTCCTCACTCTACCTTATCATTCTCCCTTTCATGCAATTAATGCAAGTATAAAATATTCATTTATTTATTTGTTTACTGTTTCTTTCCAATGCTGCAATGCAAACTCTGTGAAGACAAGGACCACACAAGTTTTAGTCAATGCTAGAGCCCTAACATCTAACACAGTGCTAGTCATGCCGTAGACACCCAATAAATATTGGTGGAATGAACAAATGTTAATTGGTTAATTCCAATCTGTCTAACTTTTGCTCATGCCACCCTCTTTCCCTCAAATGTGTTTCCCAACATCTCTTTTTTGGTTAGTAATACCTATCCATGTGTTCCATTCTTTTCTTTTTTAACATTTTTAATTTATTTATCTTTAGGGGGAAGGGAAGGAGAGAGGGAAATATCAATGAATGGTTGCCTTTCATGCGTCCCCTCCTGGGAACTGGCCTGCAACCCAGGCATGTGCCCTGACTGGGAATCAAACCAGCAACCGTCTGGTTCACAGTCCCGCACTCAATCCACTGAGCCACACCAGCCAGGGCTGTTCTGCTCTTCTTTGAAGTCCTTTTGACTGCCCCTGCCCAAGCTGACTCTTTAGATTATAAAACTGCTTCAGGTCAGGAATCCCTTCTTGGCTGTTACAAAGCACTTTGGGAACACACAACAATTACTGATAAATGTTTGAAAGTGTTATGATTAATGATAACTTTTTCTATGATGTAGTCGACAAGAATATAACGATGGGATCTGGGAGATTGACTTTTGGGAGAGAAATTTAATATAACTATACTTACTATCCTTAAAACTATTATAAAGTCAGCCACCAAAAGGTCAGAGGGTCTCAGAAAGATAAACAGCCTTGCTTCATGCCATGCCAAGTCATGCTTCCTGACAAAACTTATGTGTGTCTGAAATCTTGACAGGTAAAGACAAAGCCCTGAATTTCATGCCATGGAGGTATCTTTCAGCTTTAGCCTCTGAAACGAATAATGTCGTATTTAACAAAGAACTGAGTGCTGAGATGGATCAGATACTTTATTATTATGGACTGAATTTTTTGTGTCCCCTACAAGTTTCTATGTTGAGGCCCTACAACCCAATGTGATGCTATTTGGAAGTGGGGCCTTTGAGAAGTAATTGGAAGTTTCTATCAGGCTGTGAGGGTTAAGCCCTCATGATGGGATTAGTATCCTTATAAGAACAAGAGAGACCAGAGCTTTCTCTCTTTCCACCATGTGGGGACACAAGGAGAAGGCACACATCTGCAGGCCAGAAAGAGCCCTCACCACGGAACCAAATTGGCTAGCACATTGATCTTGGACTTCCCCTCGCTCAAGAACTATAAGAAATAAATTCCAATTGTTTAAGCCATCCAGTCTGTGATATTTTGTCATGACAGCCTAGGCCGAGACATTGATATTTCAAGCTTTTTTAGAGGAGACACAAGAAGGTTGCTCTGTATTCTGCATGACTGAAATTGACCTGACCAGTGAACCTAACAGGAAGTTATGACTGGTTTTGTTGGCTGCATTTGAGCCTCTTGTATCCTTTCCTTTCTTCCTCTTCCCCTATATGGCTATACGGATTTATGGATTTGCAGCCTGACATTTCAAAGGATGTGCCACTGCCTTCTTTCCCCACCCCAGCCTAATATAGATGTCTCCAATGACTCATGCAAGTAAAACACTTGCTTTAGCATATGATGCGCACTCTAGAAAGCATGACTTATGGGAACCAGATGAAGGAATTCAGGCTTTAAAATCTGGATATTTTTGTCTTCAGATCTTTGAAGGTCTGCCACTAGGAAGAGTAAGCAGACAGGCTTTGTTGCAACTTCAGTAGGATTAGGAATGTGGGTGGAAGCAAATTTAGCGTAAGGACAAAATTTCTAATAAAGATGCCCCAAGATGAAACAAGCTGCCCTGGGAAGTGGGGAAACAGTTCTCTATCACAAGGAACACTCAAGCTGAACTTGAATGACTTCTTGGTAGAAATATGCTTACAATTAAAGCATTAGGAGAAGGGGCAAGAAGGTCTGACTAGGTGACCTATCAGAATCTTTATGATCCTGGCAATGTGTGATTTAGGACACTGAGAAGGAACAATTAAGAAAAGCTTTTGTACACTCTATTACTTTGGTTCTTAATTCTCTAGGAATACCCTCCTGTGCACTCTGGTCCTGGAAAAG